GATAATAAATATAATAGTGAAAGTAAATATAACTATAATAATAAATATAATAAAAAAATAATGATAAACATAATAATAAAGAAAATAAATATTACAATGATAACTGTGATAGCAGTGAAATTAGTGAAAATGATAATTATGATTTTCCTAATAATCATTGGTAATATTAACTGGCATAGTTATTTAGTGACACAAACGGATTATCACTAATAATGTAGTATAAAGTAAGATTTGACTTTAATATGAATTAAAAAGTCTTATAAAAATTGTTGATTAGTATTTAAGGAAAAATCAATAGGCTTAAGTTCAAGTTGTTGATGTAGAGTAGTTTGAATAGAATCTAAATCTATTAGTTTAACTCTTAATATGAATTTTAAGAAGAAAATAGACCAAATATTATTACATAAAATTTTGATTACATTACTATTTCATAAACAATAAATGCAATTTGCTAAGGTTTTTTAATGATCATAGAAAATCATATAATCATATCAAATTTAGTGAAAGTATTATTAAATTATATATGGTATGAATTTTTATGTATAGAATGTATGGTTCTAATTTATGTATGATTTTTCCATACCAGTATAATTATTTGTCACAAAAATTATATTGGTATAGAATTTTCAATTTTTAATTCATATTGATATTGAATATTTATATATTTAATTAATTATAATTTTATCATTAAATATATTTTCAATTATCTTAAAAAATGATCAGATTTAATTTGAACATAAAGAAAAATAATAAGTCGCATTAGTAATTGTTTTGTTTAATTCATTATTTTATAATAAGTAAAATTAGGTGTTAAGTTTAAGAAAATTTATAAAAATTTTGCATTTATTAAATTGAAGAATTTAAAAACTTTATTATTATTTTTTGAAATTTTAAAAAATCTATACATGTATGAAAATATTTGTCATACAAACTATATATTTTATACATAAAAATTAATACCATATATAATTGATATATACCCATTTAGTGAAGAAGTTTTTAATAATATCAGATTTAAAAATAAGGATGTCTGATATTTTGATTGTATGATTTTTTTTAGCATTGATCTTTTATTATTTTAGCATTAAGATCTGTAATCAAAAAGATCAAATTATATTGTATTTCTTATACCTTTGTGACAACATATATTAAGTTTGTCAAAGTATCAGAATAAATGATGAATTTCCTATTTTTAGACAAATAGTTAGATCCTTAAAAACCAATAAAGTGAATAAAGAGTGTATTGATAAAATTCTATTTTTTGCAATAAATTTTTCTTTATATTAGCTACATTATCAATTATGTAAAAATGTGTAGATGTAGTAATGATATTAAAATATTGATCATTCTTATTTGTGTTACTTGAAAAGACGCTTCAGCTTCATCTATTTCTTCTGATCAAGTTTGCTTATTTTTTCCTAAACTAAAAGTTATTTTCAATTAATTTGATTCATTAGTATTGTTTTATTGTTATACATGTATTAAGCCTTTAACTGTTAAAGAAGTAGTTTATATCAAAAGTTCTTTAGAATTAGAGATTAAAGATATAATATTGTTAATATCTATTTCAGAAGGTTTAACTGAATCTTTACTAGGTATTTTCGAGAGTTTATAGTTAGTGAAACTTTGGTTAGAATGATATTTTTGATAACATTATTAACTTTGTGAATGGAAGAAGTATCCATATTTTCTAAAAAATATTTTTTTTTATTATTATGTTCGTTAAATTCTGAAGAAGAGCTCATAAATTATACAGTGTTATTTATTTGCTATTTTTGTTTTTATTATAAGTTTAAAAGGTATTTGAAGTATAATTTTTTATGCTAGTTTCAAGTATGTTGGGATCAGGTAAAAGTTTGTATCAATCTCATTCATTTTGGTTTACTAGATACTAAGATATCTCAAAAAAACTGTTTTTTCAATTTTTTTCAATGTAACCCGTAACCCGACCTGTGACCTGACCTGACTGATGCTTTGGATCAGGTAAAATAGGATACTTGACCTGTTCAGAGCTCTACTAATAATCTTTGATAAAAAGAATCAAATAAATACTTATTAATATAACATTTTTAATTTGAAAAGTTTTAAATATTATATTTAAAGTCATTTTTTATAAAAAATTAAAAATAACCATAAAAAAATAAATAATATACTTACTAATATTTAGATTATCTAATATTATAGGTTAATTATATTAGTATTAGAATACACAAATTTTTCTTTAAAATTTTTTAAATAATTATTAAAATTAATTTATTTAAAATAAAAATTTTATAATTTAATAAATCATTTTAAATTAGCGAAATCATATTAAAACCTTATTAAAAAATTCTGCGAAATTTTGGAAAATATATCAAAGCTTAAAAAACTTAGTAAAAAATTAGCGAAACTAAAGTTTAGACGTTTTTCCAAATCTAAAATGAATTTAGACAAGCAACCTTAATCATATCTTTATTTTAAATTCAAAATAAAATAAAATAAAATAAAACAATGACTAATTATAAACTTCAAGAAAAAAAAAGAAAATTATTATAAATAGATTTCATAGTAGCAACTAGTAATAAAATATTTTATTAGCAGTTAAAAACATATTTTAAAATTAAGTATTCTAATAAAGAAATTGAATAAATCCATTTAGTGATAAAAATAAACCAAGTATAAATGAGATTGGCAGTAAAGATAATAAGCAAAGAATGATGTTAGCAAGCGTTACTTGAGATCTTTAAAGTTTGAAATTCAATCGTTAGGATACAAGTATTCAGCAGTAATAACAAAAGAACGGCGGCAATGAGCCTTTAAGGCAATTATGTAAAAGCCTTAGATGAGGCTTAAGCGTAAAGGTTGTGGCGGAGTCGTCGGAATGATCTTGATTCCATCGGTTTTTTTTCCGTTAATAATGTACAAAAGAAGCAATGCAATTTAAATAAATAAATGAGCGAATGAACCATATCTAAGGAATCATCCAAGATTTTATTACGAAAGGATGAGTCAATTTCATATATTTAAGTATTTAATAATTCTTTTGCAAATAATCACTTGTATACGAATGATAAAAGGTGTAGGAATAATAAAACGTGCCCCAAAACATGTCGAAATTGTTGAAAATGCATATATTTTAAAATTCACAATCACTCCATCACTTGATGATAGGAAAAAACATGTTGAGATTATTAAACAACATGAATATTTTCATGCAGAGATTAAGAAAAAAGGATTAAATATTACCGTAAGATACGAATTTTATGAGTTAATTAACGCCATTTCATTTGAGATTAAAGAAGATGATTTGGAAAAGATTGTGGAAATAGTGGGAGTACAAAGTATTGAGCCTGTTGTAAGTGTTTAAATACTTACGACGTGCATCCAATTAAGATTTGATTAATTGATTGATTGATTGATTTTTTTTAAAGCAAAAACACCAGATATTGCCAACTTCTTCAAATATGAAGGTTGAAATCGAATCGAAATATACCCAAATGTCATTTGATAAACGTGATTGGATACCAGATACACCGTTAAATCTTTCTAAAGATGCAAATTTGAATTCTATACATAAAATGATGGGGGTTGATTTGGTTCATAACAAATTAGGATACTATGGCAAAGGAATTAAAGTCGGAATCGTAGATACTGGTAAGTAAAGATTCAACGGTTCATATAAATTAATGGAAATTAATTTATATACTTTTGATTAGGAATTGATTATCTACATCCAGCGTTAGGGGGATGTTTCGGACCAGGGTGTAGAGTTGAATACGGATACAATTATTTAGAAGATACGTGGGATCCACGTGACGTATGTGTGGGGCACGGAACTCATATCGCAGGTTCGAATTTGATAAAATGGTTAAATGAATTTGATGAATTTACAGCCTAAAATGAAAGGAAATATATCCAGGGATAATTGGAGCAAATGATTCAATGCACAGTGGATTTATTGGAATAGCACCTCAAATTACATTTGGTGCTTATCGTACCATGGACTGTGAAGGGAAGGGCGAAGGAGATGTGGTAATGAAAGCATTGCAAAGAGCTAAAGATGATGGAATGAATATAATTAATTTATCAATGGTAATAAACATAAAGGGACTATTTCTTGCTTTTTCTTTTTTTTTTTGCGTGATTCTATCATAAATCTTCCTTTGCACTACTTATATGTGTAGGGAGGAACTACTTGGACCATAACGCCACTTTCAAATATGATAGATGCATTGATGAGATCTGGAATCATTGTAGTTACAGCTAATGGAAATGTTGGAAATGAAGGGATTTTTGAATCAGTAGGAGAATTACTTGAAAGTGATGCTATTTCCGTAGGCTCGATTGATAACACTCATTATTTAACTTTTAAAGCTTATGATGTTTCAGACAAGAATTTTAGTATTGGTCCGTAGTTTTTTCTTTTTTCTCTTTTCGTTTTATTGATATAGTTAGAATTTAGACATTTTTCACTTATTTAGATTACGTTACTGTATCTGCGAGAGCATTTACATTCTCTTCAGCCAAAGTCGAAATATTCCCAGATTATGAATGCCCAACAAATTTCCAACAGTATGAAAGCAAAGTAGTACTAGTTACATTAGATACATGTCCTTTAGATTGCGTATGGGTAAATAAATATTAAATAAATATACGAGATTATTTCATTCAAAATGTTAACTTCTTTTTATTATAATAGATAGGAAATTTACAAAAATTTCAAGCATTAGGGATATTATTAGTAACAGAAATAACGCTTGGACCAACTTTAGCAAATTTTAATAACGCAAAAGTAACGATACCAACAGCTACAGTAACTCCTAATATAGCTCGATTAATTAAAGATAAGAAAAAAGAGAAAAGTAATTTAGAAATGGATTTCTCCGAAAAAACGGGATATTATATATCAAATCCTATTGGTTATTCAATGTCTTATTTTTCTTCTTGGGGTTTATCTAATGATTTAGAAATAAAGGTAAAAAAAAAAAAAACTTCTTTTCTTTTTTTAAATTTATTGGCAAAATAATTGAGAATCATTGATTTGATTAATATTTAATTGTTTATTCATTTAGCCTGTAAGTAGTTCTTCAAATCAAAGAGATTTATGTTATTCTTGTGTTGAGATTTAATTTTATTATGATTTAGGAATTAGTAGCACCAGGAGGGATAATATTTTCAACTTACCCTATACACCTTGGAAGTTATGCGCAACTTTTAGGCACAAGCATGGTAGGTAAATAGAATAATCCTACGGATATTGAAAATTTCTAAAAAAATTTTTTTTTTTTTGCTCAGTCAACAGCTTGTGTGGCAGGCGCATTAGCACTTTACATCGAAGCCAACAAATCGTCACGAAACGCACGCGACATGTTAAAACTTTATTCGAAGCCAATATACGATACCCAAAATGACGAAAAAGCATCAGTTCTCCAGCAAGGCGCAGGATTAATTAATATATATAACTCGATAATAAGTACAACGGTAGTGACACCCTTCAAAAAATCATTATTCGATAATCAATATTTAGATATTCAAAATTATGGAAAGGAAGAAATTACTTATAGGCTTAAACATGTTCCTGCGATCTCCGTTAATGGGTATAATGGAACTAGGAGTGTACCAACAAAATATATGAAATTTAACCATTCTACTGCTATTGTACAATTTGAAAAAGATCAAGTTACCGTTCAGCCAGGGTGTAACGTTAAGGTTTTATTCACGATTTCACCACCAAATGATTTGGTTAAAGAACAACGGTGGTTTTATAGCGGATTTATTCAAGTGGAACCACAAGATCAATCTAGTTCACCAGTTACAATTCCATACGGTAAGAGAAATTGTTAAAATTATTTTTTTTTTTTTTTTTTCGAGAATCAATTTGTCAATAAGAATTTGTTTTTCTTTAAAAAATTTTCCTCCCTTGATTACTTTTATAGCCGGTTTCGCAGGAGATTTAAGATCACTTCCGATATTAGGACAACCAGAATTCCCACAAATACGAAAGTCAAATACCACAATATCTTCGGATACAACAACACCTACAACATTCACAATGGACAATTCAGAAAACAAACCAATAATATCCATAATAATTTCGACACCGACCAAACTTTTATTAATTCATGCTTTAAATTCTGATAAACAAGTCATCGGATTATTACCAGGAATAAACGATGTAAATTTAGTTGGTACTAATCAGTACCTTACTAAAACCAAATCATATCAAATATTATCTTATGAATGGGATGGTAATATTTTCAATTTAGCTGATGGCTTTACGAACGATTTAGGGGATGGGATTTATTATCTAAAAGTTAGTGCTTTGAAAATGTCTGGGAATTTTTTAAATAATCTGGATTGGGAATATTGGATTTCTGCTCCTTTAAAAATTCAAAGAAAATAAAAAAAAAAAATAATCATCATCCCTTTTAACGAAAGAGTCATTATTATTACATTCTAAATGGTTGGATCTACTTTTTGAAAATCACGTGCAAGACGATTTGAAAATCAATTGTTGGGGAAAATAAATAAAAAGGCCGTTTCAATTATCTTCTAAAAAATTTTCTCTTTGATCATGTCTAATTCTCATAATGACCCTCGTACATCCATTCCCAATAATTTTGGGGATGTGATGTCATCAAGAACCACTACATTACTATTACCCAATGAATTTTCTGGGTTAGAAAGGATTTGTTTAACAGCTAACGGAAATTTACAAAGGATATTAAGGTTTGTTTGAACAATATTCATTCTTTATCGTAATTAGTCATCGACGAATTTTCCAAATTGAAGAAATGTTCTTTTCGTTTTTTATTGGATTGTAACATTTAGTAAAATCAATTATTTTAATAGTTCTTGGTTTAATAAAACGGTTACAATAGATATTGTAAAAAATGATTCGGTTGACATTAAAATGGAAGCACAAAAGACCACTTTTACGATTGGAAACCTTAATTATAATGATGGTCATGTTAATAATTGTAATGAATTACCAATTTTAAAACGGTTTGACAGAGAAGTAAATCTTGTTTGTGAAGATAAAATTATTTGTAATGCTAAAAGTGATGTTATAATTAGAGATAGTAGTATAGTGCAATTAATTGAACATGAAGGCGTTGGGATTGGTCAATTATTTAGGTAAGGTAAATATTGATTTTATTATTTTATTATTCTTTTATTTTTATTTATTTATTTTCTGTTGGTGTCTTTTTCCTTTTTATGTCAAAAATAGGTATCTTGATAAGTTACCATCGTTTCATTTAAATTATGTTGGAAGAACTGAAAAAACTTGGTGGAGAGAATATTCTTTATATATTCCTGGCGTTGAATGTCACATTAAAGAAACATTTCCAAGTAATATGTTTGAAAATTCCGAAGGAACAATAGATGGTGATGATAATGATGGAAGCACGAAAACTTGGAAAGTAGTATAAAACTTAAATAATTCCCTTTTTTATTTTAAATCAATTAAATCAGTTTTATAAGATCAAACATGGTTAGATTCGCCGTTCCTACTACACTATATCCGACTTCTACTATTCTATATCGAGAAAATAGAAGACAATATGTTCGGTCATATAATCAACTAGTTGCAGATGATCGACCTTATGTGGCGTTCTTTCTCCTTTTTTGTTTCAATAAATAAATAAATAAAAAAAAAAATGTAGTGTGTTATTTTTATTACGTTATTTTTATTACATATAAATATAACGACATAACGACGAAGAAAATAAAGTCTTTTCAACCGTTAAAATTGAAATTAATACAAAAAAAAAAAAAAAAAAGTTTACTGTCATTAACAAAACAAGATAAAACCAATAATTAAAAAAAAATTTTTTTTTTTTTCCACTTTCTTTTTATAAATGATTGGTAAATTATCGCACTCTAAAGATGCGAAAAAACCAATACAACAACCTCTAACCCTAGTTTTCGTAATTTTCATAATACTATTACTAATACTATCGGGCTTATGGTTTCAAAAAACTCCGATCGTTCCGATCGGAACGTCAAGTAAGTCATCACGTTTGCTTCTCTTTAAAAACAAATTATGATCAAGTTTGAATAGGATCTTTCTTCCCTATTATTATGATTTTCTTGATTTGATTTCAGATTTAGATGTTGATCATGTTAAATTACCAATGAACGAAACGGCGAACGAAACGGTAAACGAAACGGTAAACGAAACGGTGAACGAAACGGTAAACGAAACGGTAAACGAAACGGTACATGTTGATGAAGTCATGAATATCATAACTGGTGCAAGTAAAAATCACTTTTGTCCATTAAAAAGCTTTATTTATCATTTGAATGATACTTTAAAAGGTTTAAATGTAAAAAAAAGAGTGTTTGTTTACGATCTGGGATTAACAAAGTATCAACACGATGAAATTAAAAAGTTAATGGAACTTGGATATTTTGATGAATTACGCGTTTTCAATTTTTCAGCATATCCATCATTTTGGAACATTAATATAGCGCGTGGTGAATATGCATGGAAACCTGGTATAGTCGCAGAAGTGGCTAAAGAATATCCGGGAATTGTTGCTTGGTTAGATTCTGGTACTTTACCCGAGAAAGCATTTTTTGAAAATTTGCCTTCTTTATTAGTTGAGTATGATGGACTTATTTCCCCTAATTCACCCGGACTTATGAGAACATGGACGCATCCGGGTGTTTATGCTTATTATGGTGATGACGAAACGAAATATTATGACTTTCCGAGTTGTAATGCTGCTTCCGTGGTCTTTGATACTAAAAAGGTTCAACATATTATTGATGATTGGTATTCATGCGCTCTGGTCAAAGATTGTATTGCACCTGTTGGAAGTAGTAGAACAAACCATCGCCAAGATCAAGCTATATTAACCTATTTGGCCGCACGTGAAGGACGTTATTGTTTTTTGGAACTAGAAGAATTATGGCTTCATACTCATCAGGATAGAAACTGTCAACAAATCATCACCCATTATGAGAAATTACATAAAGTCAAGAAAATATCACATAAAGTCAAAAAGAAATCACATAACGTCAAGAAGAAATCACATAAAGTCAAGATTAAAACTCATTAGTCATTTCTATAATTCTTTTTCACCATTTTACCTAGGAGATGAATTATTTTGTATATTAATCCAACGAACTTTATAAATTAGTTTGTTTTATGTAAGCACAGCACATTTTAGTGTTTTGTATAGTAGTTATTGAATATTTTCTTTATATGAACTTTATATATTAGAAAAATTAGAATTTATACAATCTTTTTGTTAAGGTTAATATTTATTAAAATTTGATTTTAACTACTATTATTAATATGTTTTAATACTATTAAATCTTATTTTAATAAAGCAAATATATATATATATATATTATACAGTCCGGGAATTTACCAAATATGTCATGAGGATCATTTTCTAATATAGTATAGAATTCGCCGATCGGAATATTCTAGATCTATCTCAATTTGGAAAATTATTGAATTTTTAAATATAAAACAATAAATTATTTTCTTTAGATTAATTGCACAACAAATTAAAAAATCATTGAATATCAATTAGAAAATCAGTTTTTTATGAAATGGCTAAATTAGTTTGATTTATTTTGCTTTTGACAAGTGTGAAATTTGATAAGCATGAAATTTTGACAAGCGTAAAATTCTGATAAGCGTGAAATTTTAACAGCATAAAATTTTAAAATTAATGTGAACCAATTTTATTAGAATATATATTTATCAAAAAAACTGTAAATAAAAAGACAAAATACAAATATTGAAGTAATACAAATACAAATTTATTCTAAATTAAATTCATCATCTGAAGTGAATAAATGTTTTACCTCTTGCAATATGTCTAATAATTCACTTCGTTTTTGATTTCAATCCAGGATATTTTTTTCAAGTATTTTCACTTAATTGTTCAAGAAAAGTTTTGATCTTTAACAAAATTTCTGCCTTGTTCATATTTTTTTCATTCTCTTGTGCATTTACTTCTTATTTTGTAATCGGTATTGACCTAAAAAAAGGAGATGATTTTTTGTTAATAAATGTTTCAATAAAATTTTGTTGATAGTTTTGCAATATGTGCGAAATTTTTTAAATGTTCAGTCAACTCATATTCTTCTTTCAGGCTTCGATAAATAGTCTGTGTATTTTCTGAATTTACAAATTCAAGACTTTGTAAAAGAGTTTAAAATCTTTAGCATTCTATAGTTAATTTTGATCAAATTCTTAATCCCGATTGCTGTGATTATTATATCTAATTGCTTTAAATAAATTATTTCTAAGCTAAAATAAATAATTAGTATCTACGCATATATAAAATTAGTTTAATTTAAAATTAAAAAAATTCACCTCAAAGAACTTTTTACAATTATGTGTTGCAATCTTTCAATGATAATGTTGTGAAATAGAAGGTATTAAAGTTTTTAAGATCTTGTTCACCTCCTCTATAATTGCGTCTAACCCTTGATGCTATTCATAAATACCTAATTGAAAAATAACACAATTTTTCTCTATTATATTCTGCATTTTTAGATGAAGTTGCATCAACTGAATTTCATCAGAAATATCTATTAGGCGATAAATAGAATGACGTCTTGCAGACCAAATAAGAGAAAAAGTTTTTTTAGCAACCCTTTTTAAAAAAGGATTATTAGTTCTTATAGCTTTTTGATAATTAATTATCGCTTGAAGGTAAACAAATGTCTTATTAAAAAATAAGTTAGTATTAATTTAAAAAATAATAATTAAAAAAAAAAAATCAATTAATAGTGACCTATTCATATTTTATTTGATAAAGCAGTTCTTGCTATTTTTTAACCTATGCAAAATATCCTTTGATAAACAGATCAGAATGGCTTTTTACATACAGCTATAAAAGCTCTATAGCCATTGCTTGACAATATATGCCACAAATCAAATCTCAGAACTTATAATGATCTATACATTTTTTGAAATAGGTAAGCTGATTTTCAGTCCAATAACCTTAGCATATTGCAAACTATTTCAAATCAATTTTCCTAATGTATAAAAAAAATATCTAATAATATTAAAGTGAGAAATATTAGATTTTAAATCTATATCACTTACCAGTTTAACTTTACATATGCTCAAAGCATATTTATTTCTTCATGTAATTATCCTGATATAAAAACTAATTAGAAAAACTTTTCTCTCAACTTAGTAGCATGATAGTATAGAATACCATTACAGGCATAATGATCCACTTGTGAGTTTCATCCTTAATGCTTAATATTATTTCTATATGTGAAAGTACCTTTTCAACATTTATAATTAAGTTAGAATTAATGCTTATAGGATCAGAAATGTAAATCTTGAGAATATTAACTCTTAGATTAGTAACTTTTGTTGAATAAGACTGATCCTAGGAATACACATAACACTTTATTCACCATCAATATTGTAAGATTTAAAGGTAAGTGGGTTGTTAATTGATCAATTGTAATATTTTTGACCTCAGTTTCTTTTTGAATTTCGGCTAATATTAGTAATGGCATTTTGTATTCTGAATATACCTTTTTAAATTTTCAATGTTTTATTGACCGCAGCTGAGACAAAATTTTATATTAGTAATATTGGTTGTTATAGATATTACAAGAAAATCAATAATATTAGTAGAGGATAATTTTTCTTTAGATAACAAATTAAGAATTTCAAAAAGGTAAGTATATAATTTCTTGTTAATTATTTCTTGCATTTGAGGGCTAATGTCAAAGAGTTCTTCATACTGTAACCTAGAAAGAAACTGATACAACCAAGGTAAATTAGTATGTTGAATTCTATTTTATAATGCCATATTGAAAGCAATGAAACTGGTAACAATATGGTAAATGACCATATTAGATCTTCGATTGAGATAGTTTTCTGTCTTTTTTATTCATTATCAAATGCTATGACTAGAAAATCTTTGAGTAATGGTTCTTTATGCTTTGATAATTCATCCAACCACTTTTAAAATTGATAATAGCTTCCTGAACTTGTAATATAATTATTGATATTAATAATCAGTTTTGATCGTGCAATCAAATATTTAATAGCTAAAATAACAAGTTGAATTTCTGACACGTATTTTCCATATCGTATCCTATATATTGAATTGATCATGATGGCAGTTTAAAAAGCTTTTCCTGACTTAAAATATCATTCTCGATTATTCTGAATTAAAATTTTAATAAATTTAATAGCAATCTGATTATGTCTATTGAGCCATTCATATGAATTATATATCATAAGATTTTTCAGAGAAAACCTATCACTATCTCAAATCAGTAAACTTACATCTTCAAATAATAGTTCATGTTCTACTTTTACTGTTTCTATAATTGCACTGATACGTTTGTTTTAGCTATCAAATTGTGAATTCCACTGCTTAACTAGAGTTTATTGCTTTTATATTACTTTTCATACAAATTTTACATCATATTCATATTATCATAGGCTTTTTACAGTTTCTTTTTTAATTCTTTTACTTCATCTTTTTGATCTTTTAAATACTGATGTATCCGTTCAATTTGATTGTTGAGTTCTATTATTAATTGTATTTTCTGCTGATTTTCTAACTGAATGGATTCTAAAAGCTTTTTAGTTCTATTAAGCTTAACTATTATATTAGTATAATCATTATTTTGATTAGTATCAAGTTGGGATCTTTTGCTTTTTTGAACAGAACCTACTAGATGTTGATAAACTGATTATTTGAAATGATTTGATTATAATATTTCTCACAAATTAAATAGGATTCTAAAGGATAAAAATTAGCAAGTTCAGAAAAATATCATGATAAAGTACAAGTTGCTTAGTTGTTTTCTGACCGCTCGCATGCTACCATTTTTGTGATTCTTTAGATTCATAAAGCTTTCAATTTTATTATATTTTCAACTAAGTCTGCGAAAATGTATAAAAGATCTTTTACTCTTAGTTTCTGGTAAGAAAATACTACAGAAGAGTTAATTTAAAGTTAACAAAATTGTATTCTTTTTATTACTTCTTACTTAACAACATATAAGGAAAATCCTTAATTTTTAGATCTCATTTACTTTTCAAAAACAGTTAACTATAAGAAATTATTTGGGATTATTGAAATTAGATATTTTATACTGTCTATTTGTATATTTTTTATTAATATATTAATACATATAATATATAAAATATTATAAACGAAAAAAAAGTATCTGAGCCAATCAAATCTACAAATCTATTTATAAATTATTCTAGAACTCAATTTTCTAATTTGGTATATCCCCAGATTGTATTAAATATTACAATTATTCATTAATATATAAAATTATTAATTTATTTATTATAATAAAATAGCAATTTTAATTAAATTAAATTTAAATTGTTAGGCAAAAAAATTTTTTAAATATATATATAAATTAATCTTTATTTTCTCAAAAAGTAAGATATTTTTTAAAGGTATATTTTGTTAGTTTATGATTTATATATTTATAAGTTTAGGTTTATATAAAACATATTATTTATATAAGCTTATACAAACCTATATAAACTTATATTTATATAATTTTATAAAATAAATTTTATAAATTAAAAAGACTTATAATATTTTATATAAAAGTTTATAATAAAAAAAGTAAATTTTAAATATACAGTAGCGGTCATAAGTATTTGACCACCTGAGATTGTCTAAAATTATTATATAACTACCCCTTAAATTTTTCAGAAATATAATGTAACACAATATATGATCACCTGTAAATTTATAATTGTCAATGATACAAAAAAAAATTTAGATGATCATCAAACTTTCATTTGAAAAATGGAACTTTCTTTAGAGAAACAATATGAAATTGTCTTTTTATGTAAACACCTAACTGATCTAAAGTTTAGTTTTAGATTTATTGCTAAACAGGTATGTTGTAGTAAATCTATAGCTATTTATTGGGTTAAAAGATATCATGAAAATCAGAACCTAAATACTTCAGAAAGACCAAGGCAGCCTTGTGTAATATCTGCGAAATAAAATGATAAGATTGTAAAAATAGCAGAGAAAGAATATAATATAACAGCCATTCAAGAAAAAATAGAAGAAAGAGGTAT